GAGATGAGAAGGCAGAGAGGGTCAGGAGCTAGTTGAATGGACACGGGAAATCCGGGGTGGAAAGGAGGAGTGTGCTGTCACAGTATAGGGAGAGCAACTAGGGTCACATAACAATGTGTGTATAAATTTTTGTATGAGAAACTAACGTGAATTGTAAACTTTCACTTAAAGCACAATTAAAAAAAAAAAGATGCTTGACCTTTCCAATTTAAAAAAAAAACTACTGAAAAACCGTTTTATCACCTATTCATTTGGCAAAAATCTAAGTTTGAAAATGTTCCAATGACTCACATTTCTTTCAGAGTTAAGCCAAACTCTTTGTTGTGGCGTATAAGCTACTAATGATCTGGTCCTCTATATAACTTCATTTGCTAATCTCCCCTTTCTCACCCCACCCTAGCTGTACCAGCCTTTTTACAGTTCCTTGAATACCCTAGGCAACCCTAATGCCTTAAGACTTTGAAATGGCTGTTTCCTCTGCCCAGAATGTTCTCTCCCCAGATCTCTGCATAGCTAACTCCCTCATTTCCTTCAAATCTTTGCTCAAATATCACTCTCAGTGAAGCCTACTGTTATCATCCTACTTAAAATTGAACCCTTCAACTCCCCACAATTTATATACTCTTGATTCCTCTTACCCTGATCTTTCTCCCAGAGCACATTCCAGCTTCTAATATACTATATGATTTGTATATTATGTCTATTGTCTTATCCCTTAACATACAAATCACATAATATGTTTCTTGTCTTATCCCTGCCTGCTAGAATACAGACCCTACCAGGGCAGGGATTTGATCTGCTTTTTTCATTGATGTTTCCCAACCATCTAGAACAGTGCCTAGCCAACAGCAGGAGTTCAATAAATATTTGTAGAGTGAATGAATATCACATTGTGCTGGCAAGGATATGGAGAGAAAAGCACTCTTCTACATTGCTGGGGTGAGTCTAAACTGTTATGACCATCATGGAAGTCAGTTAGGCAACAGTTTTTTAATTGAAATTATAAATGACATTCTTTAGTTTAGTAATTCCATTTTATTAAATATATACTTGGCCGTGTGCGAAATACACATGTCCATAGTTACGCACTACAGTATTGTTTGAAAATGCCAAAGACTGGAAACCACCTAAATGTCCATTAATATGATAAATACAATGAAATACTGAGCAGGAATAAAGACTGAGGAAACTCTTTTTGGACTAATATGGAAATATCTTAAAGATATTTTATTAAGGGGGAAAAAGTACAAGGTGCAGAACAACGTGTACAGAACATTACCATTTCTGAAAAAAAAGAATATGTATATATATATACATATATATGCTAATAAATAAATAATGGTGTCTTAAAGAGGATACACAAGAAACTGGTAACATTGGGTGCCTCCAGGGAGGTGATGCGGATGGCTGGATGTATTTCATATATATATATATATAAAATTACCTCTGTAATAAACAAATCTATTGTAAGTAAAAAAAAAAAAAAAGTTATTTAAATTCCCTTTTTCCCTTTAATACTGTATTTTAATTTCAAATAAACTCTAACTGATTTTATATGCTGATAGAAAAAAAGTATGTTGATGTACCGGGCTTTCACATAAGGAATCAGATGTAGAGAGATAAGCATCTTGAAATTATTTTCAGATTCAGTCACCTATTGATATGGTTTCAAAGATGAGACCACTTAACTAATGTCTATTTCACTTTTTTATTTCATGTTTTGGCAGTGATGAGGACTGGCTGTCTTAATATACTAATATTTCAAGCACGTTAAAAGGTCGTTTCAGCAACCAGGACGCTATCATAATTTCATTAACTGTTAATTAGTAACAACTTTGGAGGTCATGAATTAGAAGAACCTTTGAAAACTGTTTAAAAAGCCATTTTCAAGTATTTTAATAATGCAGTTGATGGAAATAGTTTTGCAAAGGACTTTTGGCTTAGAAATCTTAAAAAAAAAAGAATTCTGACAAAGTTATTTAAAGCTCTAAAACAGGTTACCACAAAGGAAGTTGTGGACTGTCTGGCTTAAAAACTATCTGTAAAACTTCTTTTTTTTTCTATATAAAACTTTAGTGAAATGTGGTGGGATCGGTTGGCCAGATTTTTTTTTTTAAATTTTTATTGTGAAGGTTTACAGAACAAATATTTTCTCATTAAACAGTCAGTACACATATTGTTTTATGACATTGGTTAAGAACCCCACAACATGTCAACACGCTCCCTTCTTGGCCTTGGGGGACTTGTTTTTTTTTTGGCGAAAATATACACAGCCAAAGATACACCATTTCAAAAATTTCTGCATGTACAATTCAGTGATGTTGATTACGTTCTTCCAGTTGTGCTGCTATTCTCACTTTAGATGAAGGTTTACAGAACAAAATAGTTTCTCATTAAACATTTGGTACACATATTGCCCTATGACAATGGTTAAGAACCCCACTATATGTCAACGCTGTCCTTACTCAACCTTGGGTTCCCTATCACCAGCTTTCCTGTCCCCTTCTGCCTTCTAGTCCTTGTTCTTGGACCGCTGTGCCTCATTAGTCCCGTTTTTTATATGGGGCTAGCCAATCCCTGGCTGAACGGTGAACCTCGGGAGTGACTTCACCACTGAGCTAAAAGGGTGGCCGGGGGCCATACTCTTGGGGTTTCTCCAGTCTCTTTCAGGCCAGTAAATCTGGTCTTTTTTTTTTGTGTTAGAATTTTGTTCTACATCCTTCTTCACCTCTGTCCAGAACCCTCTGTTGTGATCCCTGTCAGAGCTGTCGGTGGTAGCCGGGCACCATCTAGCTGTACTGGACTCAGTCTGGTGGAGGCCTTGGTAGCTGTGGTCCATTAGCCCTTTGGACTAATTTTTCCTTGTATCCTTTTCTCTTCATTCTCCCTTTCTCCCGAAGGGGTGAGACCAAAGGAGTATCTTAGATGGCTGCTCATAGGCTTTTAAGACCGCAGATGTGACTCACCAAGGTAGAATGTAGAACATTGTCTTTATAAACTGTGTTATGCCAATTGAGCTAGATGTTCCCTGAGACCATGGTCCCCACAGCCCTCTGCCCAGTAATTCAGTCCCTCAGGGAGTTTGGATGTGTCTATGCAGCTTCCATGACCTTTGCTTGTACAAGTTGTGCTGGCTTCCCCAGCATTGTGTACTGTCTTACCCTTCACCAAAGTTACTGGTTGGCCAGATTTTATAATTCTGTGGACCTTTAAACCAAAACGATAATCCAGGCAGTAAAACAACACAAAACTCTTTAGAAGTCACAAAGGCTATTTCAGGGAAAAGGCTCAAGGTCTTTCTTGGAAAAATCAATTTCTCTAGTCTTAAGGTCACAACACTTGAGTTGTCTACAAATTCCCCTCCTTTTTAGGGTCCTGTCCTTTCCTTACCACCAAAGAAGTGATTTCCTAAGAACAACTGATACACAATCTGAGTTTAAATTTAGCACAATTTAGTTGCTTTGGTTTGACTGGTGGGTGGTTTAAGGACAAAGGCTTGGGAGATGCACCCTCAACTGGCATATTTAGGACTGTGACCTCTTCTAAACCCATGAGTGGTTGGGGAGGCAGATGCTTTACCTTAACTCTAGTCTTCTCAAGTGGACTGGGGGAAGACTTTACAGAAAAACCTAAGGACCAATGTGCAATGATGCTGAAGCCTAAGTTTTTTATATCGTCTATATTGTCTCACCTTGCCCACCTTGCCCATCATTCACAGGTAGACAGGTATTCCCGGCTCCATTTCCCTCCTAACATTTCCTATATCCCTGCTCCTTTTTAAAATTTCCCTTTCTATGTTCATGCCACCATTTCTCTTTAAAAAGTAGGGGATGACAGTACCCCCATAAACATTCTTTGGTATCTATAGGAACAATTTTAAACCAGTGCTGTTCTCCTTGGCCATCAGAGGAAACACTCTCCAGGGTAAGGGAAATGGTAGAAAGTATAACTGAATCATTCAGGAACTGGCACGCAGTGTTTTAATGAGGAAGTCATCCTAGGTGCTGGGAAGTCATCATCTTTCAGGGAGAACTGAATCCATCCCTACCCTTTGTGTTTTGCATAACAAACAGCAGTGGCACTAGGTACCTATCCTTTCTCTTCTGCCTCATTCTTTTCCTCTGCTGTGTTTTGAGGAGGGTTTTGGAAGAGGTAAGGAAAGCAGTCACCTATATGATATAGTTTCAAGGATGATAGGAAAATGTCCATTCCCCACTCTCATCTCCAGCCCCACTTCCAAACACCTCCTCTCTCCATCCTGCTCTGTAATGCCTAAAACTTCTCAATTAGAGATTTATGCCTTTTGGCTTAAGAACTCTACCCTGTTAAAAAGCAAAAGCTCTGAAAGGGTTAACCTCATTAAGCCTTGCATTATTATTTACATATAATAGTGAGCTCTTCAAATCCTTTCCTGAGAGAGAGATAGAAAAAAGGAGCAGGGAGCCAAGAACCTGGGAGAAGGAAAGAGGGGAGAAAGTTAGAAGGGTAGAGAGACTTGCTATATTTTACACTTCTACCTAGTGCACTTGTGCTTGCCAGGGCTGGTACCTGATAGATCCCCCGCTTCGCCAGTCCCATCTTTGGGTTACATGATAGTTTAATCTTTCTTGGAAAAGTCAACAAGAGAAAAATATAATTTCTTATAAAATAGTTATTACAGTATAAGGGGTGGGGTGGGAAGCAATACTCAAAATAAAAAAAAAAAAAATGAGAAGCTAAAATAATAAAGACACAGACTGGCCAGTAATAGATCAAGAACAATACAGTTTAATAGTATATGATGAAAATAAACCAAAATAATAATTCAGTTACACTGAACTTTTAAAAATTTCAACATATTATAACAAATTTAAATGTCCAGAAATTTTTGTGTTGTGTATTAAAAAAAATTCCATAAAAACATAAAGCTATCTCTGAAGACAGCCTTGTATAAAAATAATGGAGATATTTGAAATAAATAGACTTGTTAATATAATCACTACTAAGTACTTCTTCAGTCCTTCCCAAGCTGCTGAGGTAGTTCAGTGAAGAACAGTCCTCTCTCTCAATGGATGCTTCTGTCTGTGAATTTTAACATAATAAAGCATAAATAAAATAGAATAAGCATTGTCCTGCTTGCTACGTCCTGTTGGTATTACTCAGAAAATAAAAATCAGCCTGGAGGGAAAAGGACTCTAGCATTAATATGAGCAAAGAGAAAGGATTCACTCAACTACTTACATGTCACTGGAGATTTAAACTGACTTCTAAATCTAGCCTCTGAAAGCATAAATGCCTTAAGTTTTTGGAACTGAAAAATGTAAATCCATTCATTCATTTATTTATTTTTAAATTAAAAAATTTAAAGACAAGTATATTCTAGTCACTAGCAGGTATTTCTGCTGTGAGTCAAGGGTAGTGCATGAGATCAAACCAAGGCTTCAAAAAAAAAAAAAAAAAACCTCTTTAAGATTAACCACTATGTTTTGTTCTAATTCCACATTCTCTGCAATGCAGGGTGTGCATTCTAACCTATTAAAATATGAAAGAAATAAGGAACATAACTTTTAGGTAAGAAGTGTTCAAGATTTGCATTTAATACATTATTTGAGGCAAAATGTCACTCTACAATGTTTGTTTCATTACATAAGTTTGTTTGGGCAGTTCAGCAACTGAGATTAATTATAGAGCAGAGATGTGCATTTATTCACATTAGAAAGAAAGAGTGGATTGGTGAGGATCAAAGCAGACCAGCCAAGGATGAGGGCTCTGAAGCCAGACTACTTGGGTTTGAATGCTGGCTTTGTCATTTACTAGTTGTGTGGCCCTAGGCAAGTCACTTTAATGTTCTGTTCCTTGGCTTCCTCATCTGCAAAATGTAGATAATCATACATTGGGTGGCTATGAGGATTAAAAGCGTTAATTATCTAAGGCACTTAGATCAGCGCTGGGCTCACTGTAAGCACTTAATAAATGCTAGTCATTCTTACTGGACAAGTCACAAAATGGGTAGTCCAAAAGTAGAGAATGGAGTTGGTTGCATGTAATGAGACCAAGGAGAATACAACAAGGGATGCATGTAATTCAAATGTGTCCCTTGCTTTGATGCTCAGCATCTGGTAACCACTCTCAGGGTGTACGCTGGGTTCTCCTCCAGGATAATCTATCAGGCAACTGGGGCCTACATTTTAGCTTAAAACTTCTGACTGCTATGCCCAGATGTGGCAGACCTCCCTTGGGCAGAGATTCCCTTGAAGCCACACTTGGCACACTGTCATATCCCTCTCAAAACAAACCCAACTCCACAATGAATTACTGAGAAATTTGTTCCTAAAGGTGTCTTGGCAGAGGGATGGGGTGGAAGGTAGAGGATAGGGTAGTAATTCATATTAATCCCTTCACAACACAAACTGAATGCAAGTGGACATGTCTGTTCTTCATCTGCCAGTTATCTCATCCTCCCCGCCCCCTTTCTCTTTTCCCACATCACCTCCAAGAGGCCTCTTTATTGTCCTAGATAGTTCAGCTCTGGATCTCTGCTTATATTCCTCAACCAAATGAGAGCCTGGGAATTAGAACAACGGTGACCATCTCTAATCAGTGCAGCTTGCCTTTTGGGGGTGTACCACCCTTCCACATGCTGTTTATCAGAGTATTTATTCAATACAAACTAATTTCTTTCTCAAGAAATTCTGCTTGTAAGAAAATTTTCTCCATATTGATCTATGCTTAAAGCAGACTACTCAACAAGTAACAGTTCCCCTCCTATTGCCATTTGAGGATCTGACAGCTATTCTAGGATAGAATAAGGAAAACAAAAAAGGGGAAGGAAAAAGTGGAGACCCCTCATTTAGTGGAACAGATCTAGCACCATATCACTTCAGATTTTTTTCTCACTGAAACACTTTTAAGGGAAACAGAAGGAAGGAGAGGCCATAAAGGATCTTATAAAAATACATCATTAAACACGAAACTATAAGAATTAGTTGTTATTTTTTTCTTAAGACTATTGGCAATTAAGTAGACTGGGCCTTGACAAATACTAACATTGCAACATTAATGTTTACTTAGTATCTTTTTTTATTTTTATTTTTCCCATACAAAAATTTGTACATACATTGTTATGTGACCCTAACTGCTCTCCCCATACTGTGACAGCACACTCCTCCTTTCCACTCGATTCCCCATGTCCATTCAACCAGCTCCTAACCCTCTCTGCCTTCCCATCTCACCTCCAGACAGAAGCTGCCTGTTTAGTATCTTGTATTTACTTGAGCTAAGAGGCACACTCCTCACGAGTATCACTTTATGTCCCACAGTCCAGTCCAATCCCTGTCTGAAGAGTTGGCCTTGGATATTGTTTTAGTTCTGGGCTGATACAGCATCCAGGGCCATGGTCTCTGGTGTCCCTCCAGTCTCAGTCAGACTATTAAGTCTGGTCTTCTTATATTTAGTATCTTTTGAACCTGCCCTAGACCTGTTTATCAGGACTGGAACTTTATGGATGTTCTGGCATACATCAAAATCTCAACAGATTTTCACTATTTCTGCAGATTTAAACCAAGAGCTGCCCTCCCCTATACTATTCTAACTCATTAAAGGTTTTGAAAGGAGCTGCGTGGGAATTACACATTTATTGTTTATCGTCAGCAGTGTAGACCTAGTACTGTCAATGCCTAGCTTGCATAGTTCACTTTTGCGTGCTCCCATGATTCCGATTTATTTTCTTCCTCTCTTCCCTCTTATTTTCCTATGATTTTCAACGTTTAAATTTAACCTAAGTTCCTCTTTGGGAGGTAAAACAACAAGTGCTAAACAAAGAAAAATCATCTTGTGGCCGAAACCAGGAGGGTGTCAGAAGGTCAACACATCTGGAGTGTGGTTAATGTGGTCGGCCACCACAGAGGGGAACGAACATTCCACAGACTCCTTGGACTTTGATTTCTTCCTATATAACCCTCTGATTGACCTCCAGACTAGGAGGCACATTTTGGAGGAGCTCATTCCCCTCTGTCTTCTGTATATCGATATATGATAAAAACCCTCTTGCTACTCACCTCACCTCTGTCTCAGTATTGGCTTCTGTGGCAGGCAGCTCAGACCCGCCATTGTGGTAACAGTTTGTTGTTTTTTTGGAGGGAGGGGAATATACACAATAAAACATACACCACTTCAACAATTTCTATATGTACAGTTTAGTGATATTAGTTATATTTTTCAAGATGTGCCACCTTTTTTGATATCCTTTTCCAAATTATTTCACCATCATTAACACAAACTCAAGGCCTTCATAGGTTTCTCATCTAACCTTTTGAGTTGCTGTTGACAATTTGATCTCATATAGATAATTCTTTAAAAGAACACAATGTGCAAGGCAGATCTTCTTCTCTAATTAAGCTATTGTTTGGTTTAAAGGTGATTTCAGGGGATAGTTTTGGTTTAAAGTTTAAAGATTTCCTCAGGACAATAGTTTGGGGGGGTTCCTTGAAGGTTTTGACAGCAAAAAAATATATTCTGAGGTAATGAAAGGATGGAGGTAGCTTAATGCTGGCATTGTTTTGAGTCTGAAAAAAAAAAAGACACTAGTTGCTTCTGTGGGTTCTGAAAGGATTGGTTTTTACCTGGTGTAGCTTCTTTGCATTTCTAGGTAGAAAGACAGCCCATGAGCTTCCTCAGCCTGCAAACTCTCTGCCTGGGTTCAGGTTCAGACTTCACCTTCTGGACTCGGAACAGAGCCTGGGAGGCTAAGATGCGCACAGAGGGCTCAGGGTCATGGAGCATATCTCTCAGATCTAAGGGGCAAGAAAACCAAGGTTGGAGGTGAAGGCCCCTGAGATCTATGGAAATGAACACTGGTCCAGACCCCAAACAACCAACATGCCTTCAGCAGCTGAGATAAAGGGATAATCTTTTCCAAGCTTATGTTTGAAAGTTTATACAGCTGTGGATCAATTCCAAGGAAACTGCCGCCTGAGTTCCAAATATTTTACTCCTTTGCACAGTCAGATTGCTAAGTATTCTGCCTAAAGTCAAATTATCTGGACCTGCCAAGATATGTCTAATACTGTTAATCTCTACAGTCTTGTGTTGGTCTAAGAGGTTACTCTTAAATCATTATTCCCTTTTAAATTAAAAAAAAAAAAAACTTTTAGTTTTTATGTTTTCTTATTGTACCGTGTAGAAAATTTAGACAATACATCTAACGGAAGAAAATCAGAGTCACCCATAATCTTACTATCTAGCTTATTTTGAGGGTATTATCTTTCTGGTCTTTTTTTCTATGCATTTATTTATACATGTATGCTTTTATTTTTTGCACAAATGGAACCATATTATACATATTAATAAATAATTGCTTCTTTTATTTAATAATATTGCATTACCATTTAAGTAATTTAAAAATTCTTCTGTAATATTTTTCATAGATACATATGATTTTATAATATTGATATGCTATAATTTACTTAACTAATTTCCTATTGTTTCTAATCTAGGATGCTTTCCATTTTTGCTATTCTAAATAACCGAAATGAACATTCCTGTAACTATTTCTGCTATTTTCATAGTTTCAATTCCTAGAAGTGGGATTGGTAAGTCAAGGGTTGATATGTTAAAGGATTTGGATAATACATATTGCCATATTTCTTTATATAAAAGTTGTATCAATTTATATTCTACCAGCACAGTATATGATAATGTCAGTTTCCTCTTAACACATCAATGTTCAGTATTAATCAATAATCTTTGCCATTTTGACAGAAAAACTAATACTGACATCTCATCATTGTTTTACTTGGGAAACTTCTGATTACTAGTAATATTGAATATTTGTCATCTATTTATTGGCTATTTGTAATTCTTCTATGAACTGCTTATTCATATTGTTTGCTACTTTTGAGAATTTACTTGTTTGTTTTAAGGATACCAACACTTTATTATGTTGCAAATATTTTCTCCTATAGTTTGGTTTTCAGTTTTGTCCATGTCTTTTTTTTTTCAAAGTTGGTTTTTAAAATTTTTATGTAGATAAACCTATCATTCTTTTACTTTATGGATCTGTCTTTGGTACCATGCTTAGAGAAGGCTCTCTTTTTAATTTCTAATTCTCTAGGCCTCAAGAATGCTCAGGACCTCTTCACAGTTTAAAGTTTTTTATTTCTTAAGTAGCATTTTAGCCTGTAAATTCATGAAGTTTATTTCTAAAATAAAATACTATTTTTTAGCTTCTTTCAGTTCTTGCATTGAGATCTATCTACATGTTCCACAAAACATACGGGGGAGCAGATATCAATTTTGAAAATCCAAAGGAACTGAAGCCTACTCTGTCATGAAATTGGTTAAAATGATATTTCAAATTTTGTTATTTTTCTGTTTAAATTTACCTTTAAAATTTACTTGTGGTAAATGACTTAAACGTGTTCAAAAAAGAGTACTGGAACACGTTATTTCTAAAATAGATAAATCACTGCTACAGAAGAAAGAGGATAGTATTATTCCATAAGGTTGGACCATGTGAAATTGCTGATATTTGACTGTTTTCAACCTACAAAATGGCAATTTCAAATAGTTCAACCCAAAATATATGCATATAATTTTATATACATTTTCTAGATCTTCTATATAGATAACTTTTGAATGGAAAAGGAGCTTCAGTTCCCCAATGTTTTAGGTTAGAAAATAATTTCTTTTTAATTGAATAGAATCAGCCATATAGAATCCTATGCCACAGAATAAAATAATCTACATAAATTTTTCCTTTCATTTTGCTTCTAATATCTTTGAGGAAGTGGGAGAACTTTGAAGAAAAGTAGCATAATCTTTCTTAAATAAGCTTTAGCGTCTAGCTATTTTTTTTTAACCAGTTATATATTTTTATTTTAAATGCAGTGCATTACTCAGGATTTTAATTTGGTTCTCAAGGTACATACTTTTGAATTGTGATACTGAGCATTTCGTGGCCTTTTCTAATTGGAGGACTACCTCTTAAGTGGAAATAAATAACTCATTAAGTGCCAAATCTGCAAAGTTGTACAGTTACAGAAAATTTTCACTCACTGACTGTTGAGAAAACCATTTGCATGATGGCTGCATTATATGATGATATAACGTCTCTCACCACCTTATAGGAAAACTGCTTATAGGAAACAGCACTGTAGTCATCTCTGTGCTACTTGTGAGGTATCATCATAATTTACTAGATAGTATTTCTACCCCATTGCTGTTGAGTTGATTCCGACTCCTAGCGACCCTATAGAACAGAGTAGAACTGCCCCACAGAGTTTCCAAGGAGCGCCTGGTGGATCCGAACTGCAGCCATAGCACTTAACCGCTATACCACCAGGGTTCTAGGTAATGTTTTATTTCTGACAGACAAAGTTCAGGAACTGTCCCTAAGATATTCATCAAAGCTGGTTTCCAGACAAACAGGGTTATGTCCTTCTCTATAAGGGGAACTGGACTGGGATGAGACAGTCATTCAGTTGAAGTCACCAAGGGCTTTATTATTGCAAAAGTCAAGCTTATGGATCCCAGAGGCTCAGCTTCATCACAATGAATTAAACCAACCCTGCCCACAGTTACTGCCTGAGATACGTTCCAAGATATCTGAGATATCTTCCAAAATAACTTACCATACTCTATCCAGTCAGTACCCTTCATCTTGAGCTCACTGTGATCCATGTACTTTGATAACATCCCTAAAAGCAGAATAAAGTCAGTGAGTCTGGTATCTGGCTTTTGTTTTTGGAAATGAATACCTAAAAGTTTCCAATTGCTTGCAAAATCTAAGCAGTTGGCAGATGGCCTTTCGATAATCAGGCAGATTCCAAAAACTAGACTTCCAAGTGCCTGGTAGTTATATACAGGTAACATGGCCCCTTCCTCCTAAAAGTATTTTCAAGGTCATCTTCATAAAGAATGGGGATACTCAACAACACAATTACGGGAAAGTACAGGATAAAACTGACTGTAGAAATGAAAAGTTTTCTTTGTACCTACAAATAATGCTGCTGCTCTTCTGATGGGAAGTTTCGCATTCTTGGTGTACATCAATGTCTGGGCTAGGATGTTAACTTTCCCCTTGCATTTTTTCCCCTAAGTGGAGGGAAAAAAGGAGTATGAAGCAGTGAAGTAGCAGCACTACCTTCATCAGCCTCACATAGCTTTCAGGGTCAGGGACTTTATCAGATATCCATATACAGTATAGTGCTTGAAATAACTATGGTTGTTAATGGATATTATGCCACAGTAACAAGTTCCTAGACAAAGTTAAATCCTCTGAATATACCCTGCTCACACCCATTTATGCTGCATATTGTGCCTGCAATGCTGCTGAAGCCATCTTTGCTTCTCTATATCTAAATCTTCTCTGTTCTCTAAGTTTTACCTTGAGCCCTGCCTCCTTATGAGCCCTTCCCTGATTGCTCTCTCCTACCTGACCTAACCCTGCTCTGAGTGTTTCTCAGGTATTACTCTCCCGGCACGTATTTCCCACCTTTGAGTTTCTATTTAATTTTCTATGAAGATTTTATTTTGCTTACAAGTTCCCCTCAGGAAGTTTCAGTTCTTGGGAAGCTTCTAGGTTCTTCACCGCCTGTTGTACACTGAATGTGTTATGCTTATTGGATGAATGAGTGCACTTCTCAGCGTATTTCTTACAAGGATAGACACCTCAGGGATAGGAGGTAGAGAACAGGAATTTGTCCCCATGGAATTTAATATGGACAATCTGTAGTCTTATTCATTGAGAACACCAAATTTCCTGCTATAAATATTGCCATCAGTACACCCGGTACAGGTTTGGATGCAGATCAGAGAGATAATCCTCAGCGGAAAGTCTGACACAAGGTCATTGCGGGTTTCCTAGTGCCCTAAGTATGATCAGAAGCTTCTACACCAATTCCTAAACAGGCTACAGATAGGGAAGATCCCTGGGAATAGTCAGTCCTAGGGTGTTTCTGGTAGGATCCAGATGGTTCTAGAATCAGCTGTCTAAAATAACCATGGGCCTCCAGAGGCTGCCCTGATGCATGCCTGTCCCTAAGATCAGCCACATTAGCCTTTGTTGAGGTTGTGAGAAGAAAGGATGCCATCTGGGTCCTGGCAGAGCCAGTGGCATGCTATCATGCTATATGGCCCAGAACAGCATAGCAGCCCTCACTGAGTTTCCCTGAACATGCTCTGATGGAGGGTAAAACAATCCACTTACATCCAAAGAAACGATTAGAGATCATTGAAAAGCAATGCATAACTCCATTTCAATTCAGTCCAGAAGCAATTTTTTCAGCATTTACTATCACCCTGACCCTGTAGCCTCCGACGCAGGTTAATGGAGCTCCCAAGAGTTGACCGGTTTTCTTGTGAGGAAGAGTGGTAATAAAAAAGTGAATTCTGACTCAATTAGGAGGGAGCTATAGGAAAATAGACCCACAGTACGAAACAGTTCATAGATATCAAATGCTGATGTAGAAAGGGATGGAAAATGATTCCTTTATGCCATTTTCCTCCATTAAAAACTATGTTAGAAAAAAAAGTCAGCATATTAAAGAGTTAACAAAGCCATCGTTGCTCACATACAAAGAATTTGCAGATGGTTCCAACTTCGTGAGGTGTGCTGTACCACGGATCTTTGCAGTATACCTCTTGGGGCAGCTTCCACTTCAGGAACTGGGCACATATACTTAGGACTCGCCTGCTCTCCTGTGAAAAGGATTATCATATATCATCGTTTTAAAACATTTTTTAGTTGAAGTCGCCTTTCTTCATATAAAATGAACACTAAAACCCAATATGAAAAGCTGATAAACGCAGAATTAACTCTGATTGAAATGAGGGGAGTGGTGAGAAAGAACCAGAGTCCTGCTCTTCTCCTTCATCTTCCCCAAACGGTCCCTAAGAGGGATCCATAAAACCTCCAGGGTTCTAGGGAGTAGGATGTAGAAACCACTGGACTAGGGCAAAAGTGAGAGCTACAGGTGTAATGTGCAGACCAGAGATCTGGGCAGTAATACCCACTACCCCAAGCTCCCACCCCCACCTGCTGTTGCTACGTCATTTTCCTGTCACTCTACACGGGGAAATGCAGACTCTCTTCCTAACATCTTTGTGGAATTTCTAGGTTGGAAAGAACTCTAGAGAGTTCCTTTCCTGATCCAGATATCCGAGTAAAGTTTAGCAACTCAGCCTCTTCTCTAGCTCATTGCTTTTAGAATGCCTCCCATGATGAGTCTCCAAGCAAATATTTTGTCCCAGATCTACCAGATATCTGGGCCATAAAAAGTCCTTTGGAGACTGATGAGAATACAAATTAGTTCAGCTATTTTGTTTAGTAACTTGCAAATATCTAGTAAAGTTAAAGATATCCAGGTATTCTACTTGTGGGTTTAGAAACTTTCACACATGTGCACAAGGAGATATATACAAGAAGGCTCGTTGCAGCAATGTTTGTAATAATAAAAAACTGAATGTCTAGGAATAAGTGAATGGGATAAATTGCAGGCTATTCATATGATGGAATACTATATAGCAGTGAAAAATGAATAAACTGGAGCTATACAACATGGATAAATCTCATATACATAATGTTAAACAAAAAAAACAGTTGCTGAAAGCTATTTATAGAATGATACAACATAAAGTTTTAAAACATGAAAGATCTTACCATAAGAATGAAAAAAAATTCAGAATTATTGCTTTTGGGTGGGATTCAACTGGGGATAGGTGTATATTTTATTCCTTATAGTAAGTGGTGGCTATATGGGTGTTCACTGTGTTATTCTCTATACTGGTAATTCCCAGCTCATTTAATGTTAGACCCACCTCTCTATTTAGGCTGCTCTCTGAGGAGTCTTGGAAGAGGTGGCAGAGGTTGCTCAAAGTTTGAAGGAAAAGTCCAGAGCTTTGCTTGGACTACTCAGCAGAAATCATGCAGGCAAGAAGACAAAGGGATAACATATATAAAGCCTTGAAGGAAAAAAATTGCCAGCCAAGAATTATATATCCAGCAAAACTGTCTCTCAAATACGATAGTGAAATCAGGGCATTTCCAGATAAACAGAAGTTTAGGGCATTTGCAAAAACCAAAGCCAAATTACAAGAAATACTAAAGGGAGTCCTCTGGTTAGAATATCAATAACATCAGATAATAACCCAAGACTAGAACACAGGACAGAGCAACCAGATAACAACCCAGATAGGGAAGTCACAAAAATAAACCAAAGCTAAAACACTGAAAATAGGGAAACAGAGACATCAACATGTAAAAGATGACAACATTAAAACAAAAAAAAGGGACTAAAAACTATAGTCATAGATCTTTCATATGGAGAGGACGTTAAGGTGATAGAAAGAAATAAAAGACCGGTTTAAACTTAAAAAACTAGGGGGAAATATTAAGGTAATCACAAAGGAAACTAACATTCCTACACATCAAAATAAAAAAAACAAGAAAAACATAAGACTCAGCAAATACAAAATCAAAAACAATGAAAAAGATGAAAAGAAAATACATAAAGAAAAACGATTCAGCACAGAAAATTAAGTGGAACAAAGAAACTGTCAACAACACACGCAAAAAAGACATCAAAATAACAGCACTAAATTCATACCTATCAATAATTACGCTGAATGTAAATGGACTAAACGCACCAATAAAGAGACAGAGAGTGGCAAAATGGATTTAAAAAAACATGATCCATCTATATGCTGCTATAAGAGACACATTTTAGACTTAAAGACACAAAACTAAACTCAAAGGATGGAAAAAAATATATTAAGCAAACAACACTCAAAAAAAGAGCAGCTGTGGCAATATTAATCTCTGACAAAAGAGACTTAAAAGTAAATGCACCACAAAGGATAAGGAAGGACACTAATAATGATTAAAGGGTCAATACACCAGGCAGACATAATCATAATAAATATTTATGCACCCAACGACAGGGTTCCAAAATACACAAAACGAACTCTAACAGCACTGGAAAGAGAGATAGACAGCTCCACAATAATAGTAGGAGACTTCAACACACCACTTTTGGTGAAGGACAGAACATCCAGAAAGAAGCTCAATAGAGACATGGAAGATCTTAATGCAACAATCAACCAACCTGACATCATAGACATATACTGAACACTCCACCCAACAGCAGCCAAGTATACTTTCTTTTCCAACACACATGAAACATTCTCCAGAAGAGACCACATATTAGGCCATAAAGCAAGCCTTAACAGAATCCAAAGCATCAAAATATTACAAAGCATTTTTTCTGACCATAAAGCCACAAAAGTAGAAATCAATAACAGAAAAAGCAAGGAAAAACAAAAAATCAAACACATGGAAACTGAACAACACCATGCTCAAAAACTACTGGGTTACAGAAGAAATTAAGGATGGAATAAAGAAATTCACAGAATCAAATGAGAATGAAAACACATCCTACCAGAACTCTTGGGGCACAGCAAAAGCAGTGCTCAGAGGTCAAGTTATAGCAATAAAAGCACATATCCAAAAAGAACAAAGGACCAAATTCAAAACATTAACCCTACAACTCAAACAAGTAGAAAGAGAGCAGCAAAAGAAGCCCTCAGGCGCCAGAAGAAAGGAAATAGTAAGAATTAGAGCAGAATTAAATGAAATAGAGAATAGAAAAACAATTGAAAGAGTTATAGAGACCAAATGCTGTTTCTTTGAAAAGAGCAACAAAATCGATAAACCACTGGCCAAACTGACAAAAGAAAAACAGGAGAGGAAGCAAATAACCTGAATAAGAAATAAGATGGGAGATATCACAACAGACCCAACTGAAATTAAAAGAATCATAACAGAATACTATAAAAAATTATACTCTAACAAATTTGAAAACCTAGAGGAAATGGATAAATTTCTAGAAACTCACTACCTACCTAAACTAACACAAACAGAGGTAGAACAACTAAATA